TAGTGTCCAAACATTTAATTTTCTCAAGTGGAAATCTAAATTTTTGGAAAAAACATATTTTATTTTTAAATTTTGACACCCAGTAGTTTGTTAAAAAGCAACCTCTGACTGATCCTTCTGGCAAAATAACTCAAAAAAATAAAAAGCTTTATGTCAATATAGTGAATATCTACCCGAAAATAACAATAATTGGTTTTCTATGTAACAAAATAAATACATAATCTCAAAAGTCATTTAAAATGTTTTTTTTTTGCTGTATAAACAACCAGTTATTGTTTTCAAGTATTAATTACTACTAGAAGAGGTTGCCTCACCTTTCATGAACACGCTGTATACTTGAAGCAATTTGATTTAAACCTTCAATAATAATATGATTAATTATTGTTTTCTAACAATTTCTTTCCATTTTAAAACTGGTAAATAATAAAACCAGTTCCTAGCGGAAAAGGTAGCTGATATTTTTCATTTAAAGTTTAATCAAAACATAATTGGAGCCATAAATCAATCAAAACTAAAAAGAGGAAAACCCTTGCCGTGCCGAGCGGAGTTCGTATAACGTTTTAAAATGTAGTAAAATTAGTATAATTTGTCCGTCGCTATGCAGGAAACGGAAAAATTAACGGAGAGAATCACTCCCTGGTGAACAAATTTAAACCCAGCTAATTGGTCTTTCAGCTTTTACTCCGTGGAACTACATCCAGTTAAGGCTTAAGATAATGACCAAAAATTTAAATTAAAATTAAGTAAGGTAATTTTATATAATTGGTTACATATTTATGTTGGAATAAAATTATTGAATGTGCGTTAAAAGCACAGTAAAAAAAATTGCTACCTTCTTTTAATAAATATTATTTGTGTATCGTTTTGACATGCCAGTAATGATACAGATATACGCAATAATTTCTATAATCTGTATAAGCTAAATTAAAATAATAGATGAATTAAATTTTATGTCAACGACGGATTTCATTTTATAAAGGAAAAAATAATGTTTGGTAATGGTTGGGTAACTATATCCAATGTACCCCAAATCACTCAATGGAGGAGAACATCACTACATCATTAGAAGTAAACAATCTACTACTTAAGCAGGCTTGTGTGCCACTTGTTAATGGGTGAGCAATTTCCCAGCTGGTTACTACGTAGTAGTTTTAACTTCTTGACATTTTGAAAAATATATTGGTCACTTCTTTAGAAGAAAATCTGCAACTCGAGATTCTGTGTGATCTGTTCCGATCCCTGATTTTTGAGGAGTAGTTTTCAAATAGTTCTTTCTATATGGTTCTCTAGTACTTCGTTCCAATTGAAATTATCTCGATTCGTCTAGATTTCTATTGTCTCCCCGTAGAGTTAAAGTCATTTCTTTCTCTTTCTCCCCCCCCCCTCTCTCTCTAGAATTCTGGTATTAGTTAGGTTTATCAGGTATCTGCCCTGTGCTCCGCAGCTATTTATTTTTCTGTTAGTCGTCTTCAAGTGCCAGTTGTGCTCTTTGCTTGCTGTCTTCATGTATACATGGAGATCGGAGTAGATAGTACTTGCAAATCGTCTTGTTGGTATTCCTCGATTCCTTGGAAATGTCTCTTTAAGAGCATGCCTAACTTGTCAGTATATCCTTGTATATAGGGCAGATAGGTTGTTGCCAGTTGGTTCACTTTTCTTACCTCAGACATCCTTGTGCTGGCTGATTCATGATTCCTGTTCATATATCCATTTCCTCTAAGAGCAAGTGCTGTGGTGCCTCTTCCACGTTTTCCGATGTACTAATTTATCGATTTGAGCTTGAATGAAGAGAGATCTTCGCGGTGAAGCTGATATCCGGATGTATTTCGTTGATGTTCAGGAGTCCTTGTACATATTGTTATATCTAAAGGGACAGATAATGGATATATCGGCAACGTGTGCTAACACTTTGGCTTGAGAGTTGCGCACTTCAGGGCTTTCTTCAATGGCTTCAATATTTGTCAAAGCTGGCAACAAGAGTCAACCCATAGCTGCTTCCTCAATTTGTTCACAAAAGTCACAATTATGAAACTTTAATTTCGGAAATGGTGGAGAGTTTCAGAGAACTTACTGAACTTAATGATGACAATGAAGATAATGAACTTACTAAACTTAATGAACCCGAAACTGCACTTTTTGTACTCTCACGTGAATTACGTTCTCGGCAACTTGGTAACTATAGACTAAAAGTAAGATGATGGATTTCATCATTCATGAAAACGGGAAAAGGTATCAGAACAAGTGGGACCTGAAAAGAAAATGTAAGGTTAAAGACGAAAGGGAAAAATAAACCCATTACATAGATCTTTTGAAGACAGAATTGATAACTAACTTAAGATTCCGTTCATAGGGTCTGAAAATGTGGAGGTGGGGTTATGAAATACGAACCAGATTATCCCACAATGTCTCACTTTTTGAGATTTTGAGGGCATTTTCTCGAAAATGGTTGGTGCTGGCGACAAAATAACCGTATTCAGCGGGTTCAAAAACATAATAATAACAGAGTCTGATCAAAACAAACCACCAGGTATTTTGTGTACCTGTGGAATTAAACTGTGTTCATGATAGTTGGAAATGGTTAATTAATAATACTGAATAAATTTTTATTTTACCAAAAACAGTTTTTTAGAAGGTTTGTAGTTAGAAATTGAGAATGTTACAAGGGAGCAAACTATCAGAGAATCAATGGATAAATAGTACTAGTCATCCTTACGCAACCAACACGACTCCATCTTACAAAATATTCGTAACTACACTGAATCCATTGTTAATTTTTAGATTTCACGAATGAAGTTAAATTTACAAGGCATAAATACTCTGACTTTTCGAAATCAGTTAATTCCAGAGGTACATCTTGTTTATAATAAGTGGCCCGCGCTTTGTTTTTTGCTAAATCACTAAAAAAAACTTAATGGGGTACAAAGGTTTTGATCGGATGTGTGATATCCTAATCTATGATGTCAAATTACTTTTTTTGACAGTCGAATCTCCTCGTTTCCTAATTTTCTACTCCACTGGTTAGTCTTTGTCAAAATTTTGCGTGAGGTAACCTCAATCAGCAAACTGCACTGCACTAATTTTGAAATCTCTATTTTTAACGGTCCTTGAGTAATTAATTAAAAACACTAATCTTTCATATAGATCGCAACACTCTTTGTTTTGATGAAGGGAGTCATTCCTCAAAGTTTATAGTAATGTGGTTATTATACCTATACTATTGCAGTTTTAAAACAGGCAGTATACGGAGCAAGTTGTTAGTGTAATAACTTGCCTTTCATAAAAAATAACAACTGCCCCCTCATAGACCTAAAGGGGTTACTTCAAAAACTAAATTACCTACGTCTGTTGTGAGAAAAATGTATTACTATAATATGGTAGTTTCTTGGACCGCCTAGCCGGGTGTCTTGGCCGGTGGATTTCGATCTGCCGAGGTAAGCATCACGGACGCAGGCTGGGATTTGGATTGGTGACCTAAGGCAGGCTCGGGGACGTGGCTGTGGCAGCCTACCAGAGACCTGGGTCGCGCAATATTTTCCGAATGCGTGTGGTCCCCGATGAATGGTAATGAGAACAGAGCAAAGAAAATCTCTGTAACTCAAGACCATGCTATCATACATAAACTGTACGAGACTTTGCCACCAAGCCATCCGTGTAGTAAATAGGATGGTTTGAAGAAAAGTACTCGAGTAATGAAGGAGGGTGTACAAGGGGCCTAATAAGGCCTAAGTGCTGCGCTGGAAAAACAATTCCACCAACCTCCGACATACATACATAAGTACATACATGGTAGTTTCTTTGCAATAATGACGAACTTAACACAAAATGGATGATAAACGAATTGTTAGTAAAATAATGTTGAAATGAAAAAACAGCTAAATAGGGAGCTCAAAAATGTATCAATTGTACACTTCATAGATAGATTTAGGATCAAAAGAGAACACGTTCTATAAATTCAATAACTAATAGTGTATGATATCCACATTCAGAAATAGATTTGTAACCTTCTTCATCACTACTTAAATAGGAAAATATTTGTTTATTCAGTAGGAAAATATAAGTTAGCTTTCAAATTTTAAGAAATTTGAATATAGAAGTTCACCTGAATGTGAACTGATTAGCTTCAAAGCGTTGTTTATAAAGCAACAACAAAAGATAGCCGTGTAACGTAAATTCATAGTTAATTTATTTTGATGAACACTAACAGCATGTGTTATTAATACGAATAACTAGTTTATTTTTTAGTGATTGAGAAGATTTATGTTCTTCTTTTACGTTAATTGATAAAGGAGAATGGCTAATAATGATTGAGCAATTCATATTATAACACATATAAACATATTTCAGGCTGATCTTCCAGCAAATGGAATTAATTTCCACTAATTAAAGTCACCAGATGACAATACCAATAGATCCGCTATGCCACCGAATTTAAATCCATTAGGTAGACTGTAGATTTTGTAGGTTTTGGAGAAGAATGAAATCTGTTGTAAAAAAGTAGACATACGAAATAAAATAGCTTGCATTATAACCCACTTTGTGTGTTTGTTTATATCAAAATTAACAAAATAAAAAGTGTTATGCATTCAACTGGCTGTTTGTCAATAACCATTAAGACCATTTTCCTCAAAATGAGTAGTAAATAACACTATTACTATGATTAGGATAACTGTTACATCAATAAAAATGTGTCCATTTGATGTTTGCTTCAGATATTGGAACGAAACCGACAAATGTAGATTGACGCAACGAGACAAAGTACCACTAATTTGGATTTAAAATCAATTTTTAAGTGTTTCAAACCGTTGTGTATAATTAAATTGTATTACCTAAATAGTAACATACTCTTAAATAATACCAATTCGCTACATTATGGCATTCGAATGATAAAAAGTGATGGCGTAACATCTAGGGCTTCTATATAAGAGATGAAAGCGAAAGTGAATTTAGACCAAGAACCATTTATACACGAAACGTATAAAAAATTTAACTGGATCACTTACATGCATGTGATTTCCTTGTTTGTGAAGCGTAGATCCACAGTATCGTTGAGAGACGAGAAAGTTATTTCATTAGATTTATGTAAGTTTGGTATATCCTCTTAGGATGTGGCCTATAGGTCTGTGGATTTATATAACAAATATTTTCTTGAGTTTAAAGCATAATATAGAAAAGTACAAATTACTAAAAAAATCCTATCCGTACGTGACATTGATACAAGTGTTTATATTATCATTTTATAACGGAAAACCTTATACGTATGTACATATCGATAACTTGAAGGAAAGTATACACCTACTTAAGGTATTTTATCTTAAGTGTTCCTTTTTGAGTTAAAAAACGCATTAGACAAATTCTAATTGCTTTAAGATACATATTGTAATAATTATACAATACTTAATCGACGCTTGACAGTTTTGTTGTAGTAGCTATGTTCCACGATATGTATTTCACAGTTTTCTATAGACAGGCTAAGTTTTTTATAATAATGGGCCAAAATCTTATTAATTTGGTGTTATAGTTTTTTTGTAAAAACTTAAACACTTCTCAACTTATTGTTACAAAATTTAATAGAGAAACATTTTTAAACGTAAAGAATCATAATTTTTGTCATAAATCAAGTTCGGTTAAAGGGGAGCGCCCCCTGTATTTATTGTCTACGAAACGTTCCGATTCGGTTGACTACATCTGGGCGTCAGTTTTAGGTAAAAAAGATACACTTGATAGAACTGGATAATTCTTTTCTAAATGATTTCTGCTAGTACTACCATTTAGGACAAGAGAACCCATCTAATTGTTGAAGTTACCCATAGTTTCAGGGGAAGTCAGTCGTGGACAATGTGGTGGGATCTAAGAAAGTGGCAAATTGTTACTTAAATTATAATAATAGGGTAATACAAAATAGATTATGTCAAAAAATGTAATGATAAATGCATAGCTTGTTAGATGTGAGGACGTCGATCGCAATGCCCTCTGGGTCCTGACGTTCCTTGTAAAATCAAAAGTACCTACTATACTAATGGTATAAAGCTAAGTATACTCAAGGGTACTACTAATAGTTTTTTTTGGTTGTACCTCTGTTATTATTAGAAATAAATATTTTTTTGTAGCCAAACCGCTCATTTAATCAAAATTCTACAAGAGGCGCAAACACTTCCAAATGGCATCACTTATCAGATAAAAAATAGTTGACATTATTGCCCGAAAGATGAAAAAGCTATGAACGGATATTATCACCATACACCAATTTTGTAGGAGTTGTAGGTTTTAAAAAACAATCTGTGTAACACCAAAATGTGTAGATTGAAAGCAAAAGTCCACATCCCAAGAATAATCAAAATTGATTAATAGGTACACGAGTTATTTACAAAATTCAATAAATTTTCACCAACTTTGCGGCCATCTAGCGACCATACTAAGCGATTTCGGATATAGGTGAATTAGCCTAGATCTGCCTATTTTGAGCCCACGAATCTGTGACCGTCCCTTGTACACGTTATTCTGGGACACTCTGTATATAATACATATAATATAATTTTGTAAGATCCAATAAAATATTTTTAAATTTATTAATTTTCTGCAAACGCAAAGTAAAAGTAAACACTAATATAAATTCGGTTACAAAAAAAAAAGTTCGCCCGAGCAGGGACTTGAACCCTGGACCCTTGGATTAAAAGTCCAATGCTCTACCGACTGAGCTACCCGGGCGGTTAGTTTACTGTTTATCTAACTGCTTAACCTAGTGTATTTCATTTTATAATTAATATTTATATATTTTATAAAAAGGAGAAAATTAGAGCCTAATCCAAGTAAAACTGCTTCTAGCATTTTACTACATAAAATATACCTACAATAAATAATAAGCAATTAAATGTAGTTTTTTGATACTTTCAGATGTAACGTTTACCTGTTTATCACCACTACAAATGGATTTTTTTTTGTAAAATCTTAACACATCCTGCAGATTTTTGCGTAAAACCCAGTGGTATAGTTATTTTTTTAACTAATCTAACGATTTTCGACTTACAGGTCAGCGTTCCATTTTTTTAATGGCATAGCCCAGTCAAAAAAAATCTGGGATCTCTAACAAATATGTAGTTTGTTGTACTTGTCTTGAAAAGCAAAAACCTCTGCTTTGTTTTTGAAACGAGTGTGTCAAATATATATATTTTTGGAAAACAAAACTAGGGTTTCCATGCAACATTAAAAAAATATAACCTTGAACCTTAAGTCCAAAATGATTAGAGTATTAAACAATTAAATGCTTCACCGGATTCTACGAAATAAAATCCATAAGTTACCTAAAGTTTCAGCAATAACCTTGTCATGGTTCTACTCCAAAATAAAAAACAAATCGAAAAGTGACATACGCCAACATATCGTCGAAAATAGGAAAAACTAACCTTAAAATCCTAACTCTATTATAATACATATTTGCTAAACTCCATTACCTATATATGTAGTGATATTTATCTATAGACCCACACAAATAAGTTTGCGTCTGAGATAGTTCCGCCACAAATACGCAGTGGACACAGTAAGGGAAACGATCTACATGAGCCAGAAACACAATCTCTTTTGTGTCGGTCTATATGTATAGCGTATAAATATTTTTCCTACTATAATTTAATACGTTTTCTATTGTACCTAGTTAAATATTCAAACGAAAACTGATGCATAAAAAATACTTCACTATTTTTTTAAATCTTATCTATTAAAAATTATCTAATAAAAATTATTAAAAATTATTATTCAATTTCACGTTAATGCTTTTTCTTGTTTCTTGCTTCTAATAAACATCAAACCGAATCAAATGCCATGACAAATTAGAACCAGTTCTGTTAACTATTATGAGATTAGATCAAGTTGCAAGTAATGTAATTTACATTGAAATGGACTTGACAGTGAATTATATTAATATAATAATACGGCACAATTCTATTATCCATGGTAAGTTTGAGTGCTGGCACAGAATTCAAATCGATTTCTCACTTATAGTACTGCATAATTAAGCCATTTATTGCGAAGAGGAAGAGTGCATTGCACTATTATTAACTAGGAAGTGCTTAACGTCATGAATCTAGCATGGCAAGGGGAACAAATTTACAGAACATTACCCCGAATGTATTTCAGTCTGATATATTATCTTAAACGGGTTTTAACAATTTTTGAGATCTTTAGATTCTTCAAGAGATTCTTTCTTTAAGAAATTGCGACAATTTGATTTTGCTTTTTTTCGATAAAAATGCTAACTTATTGGTTAAACTTAAGGATATCAATTTTTCAAACAAAAATCAAAGACGATAATAGGAACCTTCTATGGAGAAACTTATAAATTATACCACACTAATACAACTTCAAGAATTCTTGGATGCAACTGAAATTGGTACTACTGAATTAATAATAATCCCTAAAACCATTAGTAAATCTGAATCTATTGTCTTTAATATGTTGGCCAATTTATCATAGTTTTGTATATACCAACAATTTAATCAATTTATTGAGTAACAGTAATTTATTATACTCAATAATATTATATATTATTGAGTAATAGTAACAGATTGGAAAATGTAAACCAATTTACATATTATCACTATAGCAAATAAACAAAAAGTAAAACAAAATTAAACTTTTATTAACATCAACAAATATGTAACAAAAAATAATTTATAAGATATTATTATAATTAACTATAAACTACAAACATGATCACAGAAAAATACTTAAAGACAAACAGAACATGTACCTAATTTTTTCTTCTGTGTTTTTAAAGTCATCAAATTTTTTTTAGAAAATATAAATTAATATTTCGAATTTTATATTCACGTATTACGTCTCTAAATATATTTATTGGTAAATATATTTTTAACTCAGCCTATTACGTAGTAAATACAATATATTTAAAAAATATTTTTGAGAAAAAAATTCTCACCGAACAGTTAACATTAAAAAATTTAAAATGAACAATGAAATTTTTCACTCAATAAAATTAAAGGATTGATAAACATGCTTTTATTGATTAACTTTCTTCTTTTGGAACATTTTACTCAGCAGGATGCTGTATTTTTTCAAGTGATTTTGATATCAGTCTACCTATAGCTGCTACTTTAATTTTTTCTTCCAAATGTTGGTAAAACCATACAATCTGCAACGTCTGAATTTGTTGTAAGACATATTGCTGTTAATCGTTAAAAGCATATACCATTAAATAGCAGTTAACTATTTTTCAATAAATTTTCAAAAACTGTTCAAAATTGAAATCATGTATGCGTATATTATCCTACAAATAATTCGACAATTCAAGACATATCACCAAAAATTGTGGCTTTGTGGTTATTTCTTTGGTTGGATTACAAACCATCACTTATACAAATACTTTTGTAAATTAATTACTGCAACGCCATAGATCTTATTTGTTTTACTAAAACGAACTTAATTTTAATGTTTTTGCATCTCTACAATTTTCACGCCCGCATATAGTCTACAGTCGCCTTAAAACCTCCAACTGGATCTGCTATGTATCGTACTACTCTAATCATTCCATCCGGTTGTAAGACTTTGTATTCACCACGGACGTCATCACCATTTCTTGATTCCTTGTGAGCTTGAGAGTTCCCATAGTCGTTGTCTAGCACACCATAAACATAGGAGTAATCCGGTTTTGCCTTAAAAAATATCATAATTGAAGTAAGAAAAATATAAAAAAACACAGTGTATTGTCAATGGGAGCATGCCATTGCCAAAATTTAGTATATAAATGTTTCATTGAAAACCAACGATCTTATTGGAAAGTTGCAGTTTTTTACAGAAATCATGCATTTTTTGCCACACCGCAATTTTTTACTTAGTAATGAAATTAGCACATTATTTTCATAAGAGTTTCAATAATATTTTTGCTATCAGTCAAGTATTGTCATAAATGAGTAAAATTGTTAAAATGCTCAGTACTAAGTGAAAATGTACTCAATAATTTAACTCGGTAGATTCACACCAATTATTTGCTGTGTAAAAAGATTAAAAGTAGACATTATTGAGACCACTTTTGAAGCGTTAACGACCTAAAGTATAAGAAAGTAATATATAATTCAGGAAATAATTGTCTATAACA